TTTCTTAAGAAACTTGCTCCTTTTATCAATGAACCTCTTTTAGATTGGTATCGTGGGTCGCACTGGAGCTGGAAAGTCAACTCTTACCTTAGCATTGTTTCGTATTCTCGAGAGAGCTGGTGGACGGATTCTTATCGATGGAGTTGATATCTCCAAGATTGGACTGCAGGATCTGCGGTCACGACTCACCATCATTCCCCAGGTAACGAAGCCCATCTGAAGAATTGAAAATCGAAGAGAGCTTGAAATGATCAATATTTATGGTGCTCTTATCCTAACCTACAACATGTCGAATCCGAAGTTTTAATTTAAAGTCATTTCGTCCGTATTTTTGGGACAGCATGAGAGCTGAGTTTTACAGCCGGTATTTGGTCACTTTCACATATTAACTGCAAAAAAAAAAAAATTAAAAAATATGAGATTTATTTATCTCCCATTTAACTCTACCTCTTTAATTCTATTTAACTGCAAAAACCACATGCTCTATGATTCTCTCCTACTGGCCAAAAGCAGCCCTCAAGAGTACTGAGGGGAACAAGAAAGATAGATTCCAGTTTAAAATTTATATTTGTGTATCTGCATTACTAAGAATTATCAACAGTGGCACTGACTTCTTTCGTTTCGTGCCAAGGATCCTGTGTTGTTTTCCGGGACTCTTCGTCTAAACCTGGATCCATTTGACAGCCACACGGATGAAGAACTCTGGAAAATCCTCGAATTGAGCCATTTGAAGAACTTCGTCTCAGGCTTGGAGGAAGGGCTTCTTTATCCTGTCAGTGAAGAAGGAAGTAACCTAAGGTATAACAAAGATTAGTTTACTCTAAAATAACCTTGATCAGGTTTCTTGAGGGAAAGCAGATGGAGGAAAAAATTTCTGCTTTTTCTTACTTTTCGAACAAATAGACACAAGTAGTGTAAAATTTTATTATCTGGTTACCCTGACTAGTCTGCGAGCAGATCCTCATTATTGGCGTAGGATGCGCGTTTTCCCACCCGTGAGGAGATTTGAGACGAGTCGGGGAAGAGTTTGCCAGGGGTCTGGTACGAATGATTATTAGTGCCAGACCACTAAGAGACCTCTCGCCGGCTCGCTTTACTCAAGGACGCAGTTTTTCGTGGGTTGAGAGACGCCCGTGTCGCGGCTCTAATAATGAAGGGGTCACTCGCGCACCATGCTTTGACAAGTGTGGTCGACAATTTTTTATTGTTAATGTATACGGCGAACAATTTTGCATAACAAGTACACTTGCCAAGGGACGCTTGGTGGTGTAAATGCGGGTTTAGCGAAGGAGATGTAGGTCAACATGTTTCGTTCAAGTTTGTGTTGAGGCTCTCAGCTTTGGTCCTTTGACGTCACTTAATTATAATCTGCAACTTTACCTTTTGATGCTTTTGACAGTGTTGGTCAGCGGCAGTTGGTGTGTTTAGCGCGTGCGCTACTTCGTAAAAGTAAGGTTCTGGTCTTGGACGAAGCCACGGCTGCGGTGGACTTGGAAACTGATGAACTCATTCAGCAAACGATTAGGCGTGAGTTCGCTGACCGCACAGTGTTCACCATTGCTCATAGGCTCAACACCATTATGGACTATACCAGGTTTGTAATATTCATAGGTAAACAGGAAGAGAATTCCATTCCATTGTTTCCTTAGTTGTCGTCTGCCATCATACATGAAGATCCTCTTATGTGTCCTGCCTCTTAGTAAAGGTTTCGCGTTTTCTGCAGTAGATAAAGGTGATGACCCCTAATTAGTGCTCGTCTCTTTCTTTCTAGGATCATGGTTCTGGACAAAGGTTTCGTGGTGGAGTTCGACAGTCCTGAGAACCTCTTGACCCAGAGGGGGATATTTTATTCCATGGCACAAGACGCTGGATTAGCTTAATTTTCTTATTTTAAGCCTTCTTATGAGTAGTTAGTTGCAGTAAATGTGATAGGCGACAGGATCGGTTTCAAAGCAAGCCTCAAGTAACAAGGGGAACCATAGAGAAGCCCAACCTTTCGAAGTTCGCCCAAGAGATTTTTCTTAGGCATTTTGCTCCTCGCCTTAAAGCCTCGCTTTTGGTTTTTTAGTTCGTTTTTAAACATGTAACATTGCAATCTAGATTTGGGCAAACGCTGCCACAAGGGAACGTAAAGGCTACAAAATGTACTGCGAGGTATGATCAGTTAGCCTTTAAGTAAAGCTTGTTATAGCTAGCCTCGATGCATTTTTTACCGTAATAGTTTTTCTGCACGTTGCAAGCTAAGAGATCCTGCAAGCTTCAGATCTTCTGCTAATCGTTTTTAAGGAAGCTTAAGCCATTTTGTACTTGATTCAAAAAAAGAGCGTCCGCTTATGCATAATTTTATGTTTAAAGTTTCTTTTGCTGTTCTGATAGAGAACACCCGTTCACCAGTCATCAGTAAAAGGTCTCGAGGTTATCTCCACTCCTGAAATATTGTACAAAGACCATCCAATTTTTATTCCAAATTCCTACTCTTATTTTTGAAAAGGAAAGATAACGTTCTTCTTTCTCATAGTTCATAACCAACTCTCTCTTTACAATGTTTTCTCTATATGTTCCAAAAGCTTTCACATTTTGATGCATATGGTTAAAATCTCTCAACGGGTTGATAATTCTTTGAGGGGGTCAATGAAAGCTAGATCATATAGATAGTTTTTTAACCTGCAGTTGACTCGTGATTTGTTTATTGGTTAGCTTTGTTCTGGAATATATTATAGCCTCTATTTCCAAATTATTTATTCAGATTCAATTTGCACTGTCGTGGGTGTAGCTAGAAAAATAATAAAATAACAAGCACTGGTTATGAGCTGCTTCCTGTACTTATTAAAGACTAGGCACAAGTACGTTTCTCTTATTCCCTTACTCTCTGAGCTTTACTGACCAAGAATGACTGGTTTGTTGTTTTTTGTGTCAATTATCTACTCTGGCATATAGTTTGTGAAACTCCATGTCAACGGGTTTGTCAGTAACGAAGTAACATCACTTTTAGTTACACCTAGGAGTTGATAATTGACAAACTTTTCGATTGTCAAAAATCAACTCTGGCATATGGCTGGTAAAGCTCAATGTTAACGGACATATAAATCAACTAAGTAAGACCTGAAATTAAGAGATCCTCGCAGCTAAGAACACTACTGAAACGAGTAGTTGTAATTAGAAATTCAGGTCCTATTTACAACTACTCGTTTCAGTAGTGTTCTTAGCTGCGAGGATCTCTTAATTTCATCTCTCCACCGCAGTGCAAATATGTGAATTTTCATATATCTAAGTAAGACCTTTTCAAGTAATACCTCACGAGCCACGCCAGTCACTAGAAAGTTGGCGCGAAAGTTGAGGTCGCCTGTTCGACACCTTACGGTGACATACTTCGATTTAATTATTTTGCTTCGAAAATTTATTTTTTCTTCTTTCTATTTCTTTTTTCTGCCAAATACCATAAAGTAAAAGACCTTTAACATAATACGCAATGATGCAATTTTGCATGATAAGCCTCAAATCGCGTCAGAAACGCACAATTCGGGGAAAATCGGACCAATTTTTTTTGTTCAATTCTACTTGCTGGCACCTGCTGACAGTTACAACTGGTCTCACTCTGGGAGCAGATATCGAAAAAAACAAGTTTCGTTCACCCATCACCTCAGGAAAGGTCTGACACTTGATTCTGATAGAGAAAGATCTGATCAACACGAGGTAGTTCTTAGAGTTGCCAACTCGGAATTGTGGTATACTTTTCAAAATACTGTCACTGCTTTTCTGTCAAGATGTAAACGAGGATGAGATCTAAATTTACCTTTAGCTCCTAACGGATGAGAGAAATGCGATTAAAAATTGAAAGTAAAAAAGTATTGAAAGCTTTATTGCCAGTAAAAATCTTTATATCGTGAGACGAATGCTCCTAATAATTTAGCACGAAGTAAAATTTTACCACATCTGCACCGCTGCTTACGTATTTTTCCCACATTATTATTTCGTGAAGTCTTAAATATTGGTTGACATGTATTACACGTGTAATTACTCTACGTATGTTCTTTAGAAAATACGAACAATTATTTCACCAACTCGTTGTGACATTGACCTGAAGTCTTTTGTACTATCTATATTCACCGCTTATACGTTAATTATATTAGTTCACGCGGTTATATTTAAAAGGCTATTTTTGCTAAAGAATTTTCAGCGATCAATATGAGTTCATCACTTCCAATTAATGCACAGGCTTTGCTCTACCTGCTGACTCTGAACGCAATTAAGTGAAATAAAAGTAAAGGCATGAATTGATTGGCCAGGAAGGTCTGAGCAGACTCTGGAAGCCAATTATCTACATTGTTGTATAGAATCATCAAGAGGTGTGACATTTCGCTTGGATTATTTAACACCTCATCGACACATTTTCCTGAACCTTTCAGGAAACGGAACTATATCAGTGCTTTCGTTGTAGTCACCCGTATTATGCTTAAGATAAGACAAGCAAATATAACCCTTACTCTGTGTCAATAACAACCTTACTCGAGAATGCTTCTTTCAACACTCAAGGTAAGCGGCTTTAGTTTCGAGATTTTTGTCACTGAAACCAAGTGGGTGCTGACCAAATCATCAAACAGGAACTTCACCTCAATACTTTCTATCAATTATCAATCATCATATCATCGCACACGTTAGGCTATCTCCAGATCAGAGTTTCAAGTTATCACGCTAAGAGAGATTTGAACTACTGTGTATTCACCGCAAAATGTTCCCTGATTTTCTCTTATTTTGATTTTCATATTTCCTATTTAGACCTCTGGGATCTATTTGCTAGATTTTCTAGTATTTGATATTTTTGTTGCACACATAAAAAACAACCGTAAAAAAGGAATTAATCTTGGGTCCTAAGCAGAGTGATAATTTACTTGAGCATATTACAGAGTCTTGCTTTTATTCGTATTCTGTATGACAGAGCAACTTTAACAAAATTATCTTAATCCCTGATTGAATGCGCAGTAATAGCGTGACAAACGCGTTTAGACCCTTGGGATTATGGGAACCCGCTTTCGGTGGCACATGCATTAAACAATATGTCGGCCGCAAAACATCGGTAACAGAACTGACAACTAGCATCGAGCTGTTCTTTCAGAAGTTTTGGAAAACGGAAGTCATGATTCATATAAATGATAACAAAGTGAAAGAGACAAACCAGCGTCCTGCAGCATCGCACTGAGTTCGGCTTTATGGTGGACAATACTTAGCCGCTTGCTTCGATTGAATATTCATTAGTACTGACAAAACATAATGCCTGGGTCTTCGTCACGATAACCGAAAACGGGGTGTTCTCTTGAATTTTCGATTTCAGACAGGACTATCAGGAGAAAATGTCTCTGACAGATAAGCCTGGAAACCTGGTGTTGAGATTTTAATCACGAATGCGAGGTACGGTCTACTTAAGCTACGTAAGAAGGCGGTCGAATGATGTAATTGTGTGTTGTAAATTCGCTTCCAACAGTTCTCTTCATCTGTTCAAATAAAATCATATTCATTGGTAGCAAAAGCTAAAGCCGCATAAAGAACAACATTAGTAAAAATCGCGGGAGAAAATTTACTATCCACTTCAAGCGCGTGGAAGTTTCTTAGCGGTCGAGAAGAGAGCAATTTTTAAGACCACTTTAAGACAATATGGCGGTATTTTTCGCTGAAAAATTATTTTCCCGATTTATTGAAGTTTGATGCAGTAGTACATAATTCAAGTTTCACGCTTTGCCGTCAATGTTGTACCATCAAAATCGTCGTGTTGTAGGAACTTAACGTAAACATTACGATTGACCCGTGACATAACGCCTTACGTGACGTTTCGAGGCGTGACACAACAGTCGTAGGACCATTGATAGACAGTCTTCACAGATCAACATGAAAGGGCTTTTATGTAAGCTTGGGTTGTGCAAAATTTTACTTATGGAAAAGGGCAGTCTTAAGGAAAGGGTTTTTTGGAGAAGTTAATGTTTTCGTGTACTCTATTCTTGCGAAATTGTGATGTAGGTATCAAGTAGGGAAAGCCAGTTGCTCAGTGGCGAACAGAGAAGAAGTCATAAATCGTATTTGACCTGGAGATCAGTGGAAGAGTAGTTTGGGGCACGTTTTGGATTTGAAATGGCACTCTGAAAATTTCCATCTCAATTTTATAACAAAATACCTTTTAAAGGATTCCAATATTGCGACATCAACATTCTCCTCTGTCTTTTTAAGGAATACTTTTATTTCAGCATTTCAACAGTGTACAGTAATTGTGCAGTCAGGAACAAAACTAAACCATTTTGGTACCAGATAGCTGTAAACTGGGCGCAACGAACTTTATTTGAGCATACTCAAGAGAATTTCAACTTGAAATACTGTAAGAGAGATAGAGATACCCCTTACAATGTTATATGTACTGATCACTAAGTAATGTTTAGATTACGTTAAATTAATACCTCCTTTCACATCTATAGGCGGAATGACTGAAAAATCGTCTGGCTCGAATTATGAAACCAACTTCAGTGTCAACTGGGAACCAGAACAAACAAACGAGAGAAGATTGAGGGTGAGGAAGTTAATTGAATCATTCTTTACTTGGGGGCAGATTTCAACGATCAAATGCAAAACTAAAACCAAACCCCACTGGGTCACTCACGTGTTCTCACGCTTCAAGCAGGTTGCTTGTTTTTACTTGGAGAATTGGTTGACAGCGATGTAAACTTTTGTTCTGTTCTTTGGTTTGAACCCGGGGGTAGTATGTGAGTGGACTCTGATGATGATTTCCACACAGGCTGTCGAAACGTCGGTCACCACTACCGACAGCAGTCCTTCTCAGGACTACGCTCACTCGGACGATCAGATTACACGATCACTTTGCTCGGATTGGTATTTGTGATCCCTTTGGTTTTGGTTTGTCGTCGCTTCAATGAAAACTGATTTACCATTAAATCTTGCATTGACACCACATAAATTTATCTAAATTTGTCTGGCGTTTTAAATATAAGTTTTGTATAAATTGTACTAAGTAGCAAAAAGAGAGATTTATGGCTCTTATGTCACCACAGAATTTCCTACAGAAATATTTGATCTTGTTCTACCGCTTTCCTTCTCTCGTTTCAGATTTCTTGTCCCGAAGATAAAGCAACATGCTTTTCAAGAATCACGTTCTGGTGGTTGAACTGGTAACCTACATTACTAACTTACCTTTACATACTGAGACATTTGTGGTGTCACGATTCACGTAATATACCCGTCGAGGAACCCTAACATAGACATTTTTCTGCAATAAACTGACATCAGGCGAAATGATCGAAAGGAAACCGAATTTGCTGGAACCGTCCTTGTTGGCAGCAATCGTTGCAGCAATCTGCATCGTTTGCGCCAGAATGCTGAATTTACCTGAAACTTGCATCTCGGCTGCCCCGAAGTACACTTGCTGTTTTTTTTTAGAAGATACTCAATTCTCATGTGAATTTTTATTTTATTTTTTTTTCACCTTGGCTGCCTAGTGTTTTACGGGTTTAGGCAAATAACCAACATATCTAACCACAGATTTAGAATCACGGGAACATCATGGGAACATCATGGGAACATCATGGGAAGCAGTGGAAGGGTGCCACCTCGGCTCTACTCAACAAACTAACATGAGGAAAAAATTATTGTACTAAGGTTGTAAGCATCAGCAAGGCGGAGGGAGACCAAGAAATATTCTATTTGCTTGGAAGCCATCTTTAACTCTCTTTCCTTAGGATAATTTTTACCGGATACAAGAGACCACTGGAGGACAAGGATCTCTGGGCACTGAATAGGAAGAGCAGAGCTTCATACATTGTTCCTAAAGTGAGATCTATTTGGAATCTCGAACAAAAAAAATGCAACAGGTAGGTCCGTCAGCAAGTTTGTTTAGTGCATTAGATACAAAAACCCTAATATAGATCTCATTCAACTTTTTACAGGAGGAAAGGAGTTCTGGTTGAAGATGCTTGTGGCTTTGAGCCTAGTGAAACTGATTCGTTACTTGGTAGGAATAAAAAGGAGAAAAAATCACCGAGCAACAAAAGAAAACCTTCGCTTTTGAAGGTTTTAGTCAAGATGTACGGATGGAAGTTTCTACTAGCCGCTATCTTTAAACTGTTCCACGACTGCTTTTTGTTTGTACAGCCTCAGTTATTAAGGTAAGCATAAATAAGTTGCTAAAAACTTAGATAAACTTTTGCATGGGCCAATTCTAAAGCCTGCTAGTGATTGATGTTTGTTTCACAAGTAGAATACTTTGAAATTCCATTACGATGCTATTCGTTGCTTTCACCCTTTAACTCTAGTACATAAATACATATAATAAACAAACAAAATAATAATACTTTTACGTTCTGTTTACATTTCCTATGGCATTGCAAAGGAAAGTTACAATCATTTCCTGAATTCTCAAAACTCTAATGTTCGATTCAGCAGTGATACCCTAATGGGAAATTAAATGCCACTCGTCCTTTGGGGTTAGAGGGTTAAGGTTATAATCACTTTACCAGAGCAGAGATAATGTCCTTGGCCGGGTTGTTCAAAGCTTGGTTACGGTAACCCAGGGTTAATGTGAAATCTTAATTCAGATCTGAAAGCTTAAATAAAATTCTTGATAATTATTTTTGTCTGCAATTTGATGATTAAGTACTCTAAAAAGAATAGAGAAAATTATCTCAAAATATGCTTTTGAACAAAGGTATAAAGAACCAGGACTAAAATTTAACCTTGGGTTAGCGCTAAAAGGCCTTCAAACTACTGGGCCCTGTACAAATAAAAAAATGGTTAACTTAATGCTACCATGTTTTTGAAGATTGGCGCGCTGTTTTGTCGATCACATGATGTGGCAAAACACTGCCATTAACATTTAGATCGAAATCTACCCTTCGTAATTTGTTCGAAATAGAGACTTCCCACGCATGATTATGCCTGACAATCTATGGTGTAAGAGGAGTACCATTTCATCGCGTTGGAAGAAACAATTCTGTGTTCGTTTCTTTCTTTAGAATGCTTATTGAATACATAGAAGACAAGTCCTCCACTGAGAAAATGTGGATGGGCTATGTATACGCTGGGTCCATGTTTGTGTCAGCAACTTTGCAGTCCCTCGTCCTTCAACAGTATTTCCATATAATGGTCACACTTGGTATGAAAATTCGTTCAGCTGTTACTGGTCTTATATATGAAAAGGTGAGCTGCTAAGTCGAAAATTAGTTTTTTTTGTACATTTGGCTGCTATTTTGTTTGTATATGCAGAGTTAGAATGGAAAAAGAAAGACGTAAGAAATGCATGCTTGAATTACTTGATAAACTACCCATGAACGATTGAATCACCAACAACCTAAATGTATGAGCTTATCTCGAGTCTCAACGTTATTTTTCTCCAATATTTCTCTGTCTTAGAGCAATTATTCCCTGATAATAGCCCCATGTATAAATATTATTGTAATAAAGTTTAGATATAGCACAAGTGAAATTTCGGAACTCAAGAGGTGGGGAGAAACACTCGTCTACGTCTCGTGTTACCCTCGACAATTCTTTCGCGCTCTAGCGCTTCCTGCGTGCTTTACTACAGAACAAAGCACAGTCAAGGCTTCTCTATTTGTTAACTAACAAGGCTTACCAGTTTTCAATGAACTTTGCAGTTGTTTGTGAAACCTCACAACATCTTTCTATTGCTCGTCTTATTAACACTAAACTTGTCACTAACATCATTTGATCAGGCTCTGGTATTGTGCAACGAATCACGGTCGAAATCAACCGCTGGAGAAATTGTGAACCTGATGTCAGTGGACGCGCAAAGGCTGATGGATGTGATGACATATCTAAACATGATATGGTCTGGGCCCTTCCAAGTTGGAGTATCATTGTATTTTCTTCATCAAACCATGGGCTGGCCGATTTATGCTGGCTTAGGTGTGATGGTGATTTTCACTCCAATTAATTTCTTGATCGGCAGAATGGTGAACAAGTTGCAGGTATTCAACGTCTTGGTTTGTACGCGTGGAGAAGTTAGTCTAGTTTTAGTTTTAGTTTTGCGATATCCGTGTAGTTTTAGTGCAGAAACAAATAACGGAGATTCCTGAAAACAAAGAAATAGTCATTTTGGTTGCCCGAAGTTGTTGGATAGTTTCTCCTTTAGGTCATCCTTTTAACAAGACAGTGTTCAAGTATTGTCATTATTCATCGGAATTCCAATGAATAAACACTTCTCTTTTATGATCAGGTGAAGCAAATGTTGGAGAAGGATGGACGGATAAAGATAATTAATGAAGTTCTCAATGGAATCAAGGTAAATGTATATTGAACAGGACATGTACAGAGTAGAAAAGGAAGCTGAACTTGTGATTTGATCAATCAGGAGAAGGCAGACAAAAAGAAAATGATGAAAATATTCATGTTGAGCTTGAGCAGTTTGGTTGTTAACCTTGTGCTGTTTACTTTCATTTTCCAACTTAGAGCCAAGTTACAAGCCATTTGGACCCTTATTTGATTTAAATTTTTCTTTTCCAGGTTCTAAAGCTCTATGCGTGGGAAGAATCTTTCTTGTCAATAATTAACAACAAGCGACGCAAGGAACTCTCATTTCTTCTGAAGTCTCAAATCTGGAAAGTTTTCTTGAATTTCGTTTACAACAGTTTGCCTATCATGGTAAGTTCACAGTGACAAATAAGTTCGTGACATCAATGATGAATTTTACGTTAACAATGCGAACAAGAAACACAAAATGAGAGCAATTAAAGCACTTACTGCCCAGTACATTAACCTGTAGCAAAATGCCTAGCATTCCTTTAATGAAAATCCTCCTCACAAGACAGTACAGTAAATTTTTTGCGTTCACTTTTACATTTACTTTCGTACCATTTGTATCCTTTCTGTCGCTCTATTTCATTTCATTTTGAATCATTCTGAGCCCAGCGAGCTTTTATCCCATCCCTATACTGTCTGTTCTCTTCGATATGTTTCTAGTCATTTGCTTTTGCTCTTCCCTCGATGTCTCTTTTTGATTGTAAATTAACACACTGAAATTTTTTCATCTATGTAGTAACACAATCATGCAAAAGACAATAACACAGTCTCAATCGACTTTCCTCCAAACAGGTTGCTGTTACAACGTTTGCTGTTTACGTTCTCATAGGCAACAGTCTGACCGCATCCAAAGCGTTTGTGGCCTTGTCGCTCTTTGGAATTTTGCGTTTTCCTCTTGGTTTCTTTCCAGATGTGATTGCAACTTGCATACAAGTAAGTCGAAAAAATTGGAAGGTCGTTGTCAATGCTCCTATATAAGGTTTAAGCTTGAAATTTCAAGTTACTCCAGTTTTTTTTATTGTTCTGGCCTTCCTCACGTTGTTCCTTGAGTAAGGATGAATGAAAGTTAGGTTCGCACGCTTATGCTAGGGTTTTCGCCAAGATTCATTTGAGACGTTTGAATGGTCACACAAAGCTTTAAAGGCGCCAGGTAACGTGTAATCGTACAGGTATATAGTTTTTGCCGCTATATTTGTTGTAAAGTTGTACTATTGTTTAATGTAGATTTATGTCATTTTCCCTCCGTCCTTGCTTTTTTTTTTTTTTTCGTAAGGCACGGGTCTCGGTCAAGCGCATAGAAAAGTTCTTGGATTTAGAAGAACTGGACCCAAACAATGTTCTAAGGACGTCACGTAAGAGCAACGTAATGTAGTGGGTATTTCTGTGACTTGCAAAGACTGAGCACTCGTTGCAGTGATTGATGCGTCAGCCAGTAGGCCACACAGATGACTCACCCAGTAATTTGGGGAGACGAATATACTGACTGATAATTTTTAAGCCAACATGTACACATTTGAGTACAGTGTTTTCTTAGGCAGAGAATGTATGAAAACGTGTGAACGTTTACGGCGTTATTTATTTTTCATTTGTCTATTTCATTTCCATCTTGAACTAGAATTAAGGCTCAATTTACCAGTACCGCAGTGAGCCTAAGTGCATCGACGTATACCAAGAATACGCGCCAGTAAACAATTTTCTTGGACTTAAAACATTTTCATTATTCCTAATGCATACAAGATTTCCATGTTCAGTGACTGTAATCCGAAGTGGAGGAGGTTAACCTTTAATATAAAGCACCGAGTAAAAGAGCAAATGCGGACTCTTCTTATTTTTCTCCCTTAGCAACACAGCTTACTTCGGAAATGATTGGCGTCAAAAGTGGTGTATTTGGATGGAACAGAAAGGATGCACCTAAAATTCATGGGTAAGAGAGAATTGATAAAAAGGCTAAATCAAGAATATAATTAGCCGAAAAGGTTTTATTCCTAAGTAAGGCAAGAAACATCAAGAGGCTCACAAAAAAGAAAAGGAGCAATAACCGGGTAAGGATGTAGAAATTTTAAACGAGTTACAATGAGTTTTTCAATTGCCACAAATTTGAAAGAATGTTGGTAACTAAAATTTATGGTGTAGGTACTTTGAGCTGGCCTTGAAATGTCGTCTGTCAACTGGTCTTATGTTATGCTTCTTTGTTTTGTTTGTTTTGTTTTGATTTCTTTCTGTCTGTCTGTCCGTCTTTCTGTCTGTCTGTCTGTCTGTCTGTCCGTCCGTCCGTCTGTCCGTCCGTCTGTCTGTCTGTCTGTTTGTCTATCTGTCAGTCAGGAAACCAGTCTGTTTCACTTGAAGTCTGATTTTTTACGACGTCGGTAGTAGTATAAATTGCTTATACATGGCCCTCTGTCGGAAGTTCTCTGAATATTGTAGTGTTTCCTTAGCAATAGATCGTGTGGATTTCCCACTGAGCGCAAACGAAGGGCTAATAAGTTAAATATTTAATTGAAAATGATTTGCCGGATACGAACGATAATTCTTGAAGGGCTCAACTGCATATTGCACATTTATCATAATATGCATTCGTTTCGAGTAACACTAAATTTAAATGACAAAATTTATCCCCTCATGGGCAATTTATTGTGCTGTATATATTTTTTTAAAACATATATTTTACTGTCGCATTTTACTGTTTCAGTATCAACCTAAACATTCCAAAGGGCTCCCTGGTTGCAGTCGTTGGTCAGGTTGGATGCGGAAAATCTACTTTGCTTTCCTCTCTTCTTGGTGAAACAGAGAAGTTGAATGGCACCATTTATGTTGACGTACGTAATGTATTATTTCTCTAATGAGTGATGACCTCTTTCAAATTTAGCCATCTTAAAATCCATAGTTAATTTTAGGTTTATTGATTTCAAGGCCCCTAAATCAAACTATCTGAGATAGCGTATACAATATGAATAATTCCGTTTTAGCTCACTTGTGATATCCCTTCATTATGTTCTTTGCAATGTTAAATATGATGTAGCGAGTACAGATGGAAAGAACATTGACTGTCACGACTGTCTGAGTGGTAATTGATGAATTTACCTTTTGACTGATTTGTGGACTCGTCGAGAAAAAGTCGCTTGATGAAAATTAAAGTGGTCGATATTTTTTCCTACAGGGATCTGTGGCGTATGTTTCCCAGCAGGCCTGGATACAGAACGCCACTATACGAGACAATGTCCTGTTTAATAAGGCCATGGATCCAACTCGTTATGAGCAGGTTATTGACTCATGCGCCTTGAGAAGTGATTTGAAAATTCTTCCAGCGGGTGACTCCACGGAAATAGGAGAACGGGTGAGAAGGAATTTTGGGAAGATTGTTCTACCTTTTTATCACCAAACAAAAGGGAGTGCAACTGGTTAAGATCTTTGCTATTCACTAAAGAGACAAGTTAGACGTGGATATTAATCATTTTGATTAAAGGTGGACAACATTTTTATCATTTTTATTATGGTTCAAATCCCTTGTAATTTCAAAAGCCATGCTCGACTTTTTTGGCGTCCTATTGAACGAATAGGCTTTGGGCTTTTAGCAACTCCTTGATCAAAGCGGTTTTTTTTTTTCCATCATTTCACTTCGCTGACGACCGGGAAGATATGTGGTTTAGTTTTCTTTTTGATACTGTAGTCGTCCATAACACACCGAGAGATGTGAATATTGACGCCACTGATAAATGCTTCAAGTTATTTCTAAGTTATTGTTATCGTCCTTGGACAAAACTCCTTTCAATTATACAGGGCATCAACCTCAGTGGTGGACAAAAACAACGAGTAAGTCTAGCACGCGCAGTTTATTTCAACGCTGATATCTACTTACTGGATGATCCGCTCAGTGCTGTGGACGCTCATGTTGGACGAAAATTATTTCTAAATGTCATTGGACCTAATGGAATGCTTAAAGATAAGGTGAGGTGGGACAGGGATCATCAGGGATCAATGTTTTGTAATGTCGTAGACACAAGGATGTTAAGGACCTTAAGCAAACTACGACAGCGACAACAACGAGGACGTGGCCGAACAAAATATCTATGATTGGAGGAAAAATAGCTGAGCGCGTGCGTTTTTAAAGTTTGGACATTTCTTCGCCGTCGTTTCAACAACTACAAAACAACCAAAACTTGTGTGATTTGAGAAAGAAAACCCTAACGGAAAATTATTTAATTTTCCATTTGGAACTCATTATAGGTGAAGTTGAACTGTGGCACTAAACACATTCGGCCAATAGCAAAATTCTAGCCAAATATTTAAACTAATTATTTAATCGACGTCTTCGTCGCCGAACAACGATCTATGAGTAACCAATCTCGTGTCGCGAATTTTGCTTACGTGGAGATCCCATGCTGTTTGTATTCGTTTTCTACCACACCCCTCACTAAACACGTGAGATACATCTCACCCTTTTCCCCGGAAACAAACCAACATGAGCTCAAAAACGACGGGAGAGTTATTCTTTTATAGTCAGTCCCTTGACTCGATCCTTTCTAGGGTATCTATAATGATGGCTCGTTTTCTTGGAAATTTAAAAAACCTGACGAACTTTTATACCATTTTGGATGACCACTAAGCAAGGTCTATCTTTTCTTGCTATGGTCCAACTTTCCAAAGTACAACTTTAAATTTTTATTGTCATGTGTCATTACCCACCAGACTCGAATCTTTGTTACCCATGGCATCAACTTTTTACCTCAAGTGGACCACATCATCGTTCTTCAGGACGGTTTCGTCTCAGAGGTATGTAAAATTTCCATCAGGCTGTATAAATTATCTTAAAGTGGATTATTTTGATAAAGGTTTTCTTTGATTTTCTTTTGTTTGGTTTTTTTTTTAGGAAGGCACGTACACTGAACTTCTGGAAAACTCAAGTGCCTTTGCCGATTTCTTACAAGCTTACAGATCAGAGGAGAACTGTGGTCTGTATCAAATACAATATACAATTTTTTTACTATAAAATTTCTATTTCGTAATTTGTTGTACGCTTCTAACGCAGCACTCGTTGTAGTCATGCAAAACTGTGTGAAAATTTATCATGCGCTTTACCGATAATGTTGTGGTATTAATTGAATGTACTATTACTAAACAGAAACTGATGTTCATGATGAGAACGAAATCGACGAAGCGCTTCAAGAAAGCACTGATAATGTTTTCAACAGAAAAGAAACACTACCTTCGTTGAAAGGTCACGAGCATAATCAAGGGAGTAATAATAGTAATGCTGGAAAAACGATAACAGAGGAAATATCAAAGACTGGAGGGGTAAGTTTTGCAGTCTAAAGTAATGAATATTTTTAACTGAGCGCTTAGCTCTTTATTTGCTTTCTTATTTTCAATCGAAAAATATTATTCCGAAATATAAATAATTTATATTTTGATACAATTTTTCTAACAAAGTTCATTTTTCTCGAGTAATTATCTTCTTTCTTAAATATAATTTTCTTTAGCTGCAATCAAGATGTGTTGAGTGAAATCTTACTCTTGTAGCAATTTAAAGAATTCTTCATATTTGCCATAATTTTTCATGCAAATTCAGCTTAAATGTCACAAATGGATTTTTGTCCCCCTCCCTAACAGTGTTGATGTTGTCAGTGTTGTTGTAAAGACAATTTCTCGATATTATTAAACAAAAACGCCGGGGAAGTCTCTCATCTTAGCAATTTTTCCAGTGACTGTAAAGTTCCATTTACCTAGAGGTGTTTCCTCTAGATATATTTCCGTTTGAGGAATGTTTACAACACGTGAGATAGATGGATGCTTTGGGAAGATTCTGCTCAGTAAGGAGTAATTTATCAACTTTATCCGAGCATAATTTCGACTTTCGGTACCCTGAGATTTCTCGTATGTTCCGAATTCTGGACCCACTATGATTTCTCAAAACCCGCCCCATGCCCTTGGAAGTGGTTCTGCTCGGCATGTATCAGAAACGCGGACTTTTTTCTAAGTGATAGGAAAGCAGTAGCAATGATCTGTTTTTTTGTTTTGTTTGGTTTTGTTTGTTTGTTTGAGTTTTTTTCTAAGCATTTGTCTGTATTATTTATATCCCTAAACAGGCAACGTTTTCCTTATTGTTTTCTTACATCAAGTCCTCTGGCATACATTGGTTTGTCCTCTCTCTGTTCTTTTTCGTGGTAATGGAAGCGTGCTCTGTGGCTACAGGAGTATGGTTAGCCCACTGGAGCGCAGCAAACGTGACCACAAACCATCAAAGGGACTTTTATCTATTAATCTATGGAAGCATCGGATCGGGTCAGACCCTCTTTACCCTTTTGTACTCCTTGGCATTGTTTATAGGGGCGATTAGAGCTTCTCGAATACTTCATCGTAAATTAATCGTGAACATCTTGCGGCTACCGATGATGTTCTTTGATACGACACCGATTGGTAGGATTATGAACCGGCTGTCGAAGGATATTTATTGCATTGATGTGACAATTCCATTATCTCTGAAGTCGTTCTTACAGATGTTTTTTGATGTCCTTGGGATGTTGGTAGCTGTTAGTTACGCCACACCACTCTTCCTGACTGTTGTTCCTCCTTTGGGAGCACTTTATTTTTACATACAGGTGAGAGAAAGACTTTTATTTCCGTTTAAACTTAAGGTAAAACACATTGTTGGATATTTCAATAAACGTATAGCGTACAAACGTCAACGACAATAGAAAAGTTAGATTGGCTAGAGGAGGAATGGAGAAGCTTATCATGGATAATGAGATGTGTGCTGCAGCTCGAACATTTCGGGGTTTTTCTCGCCGTGTATTTACATTTTCCTTATAGGGAAGGCTGGGATTTAATTCGTCTTTATATAACGAATATTTTAAGTAATTGTCTTTTGTTCTCTTTTTCTCTCTTGTTTTGATGTTGCTGGACATCACAAAATTCTCTTTCCCCCCCCCCCCCCTGCATTGACGTTTTCCTGACCACGCTCAAGAGAAAATGTCACACTGACCTATTTCACTCTCCACATTCATTTAGAATGTGCGAATTGATTGAAGTACTGAACACGTCTCGTTTACGCGTATGATGATGACTGCTCTCCGAGCTGGAACGCAGATTTGATCACTTCATGCATGTCACACGTCTTGATTTCTGCAGTTTAATTAATTCACTGATTATTCTAACAGAGAGTATACGTAGCTACATCGAGACAGCTGAGAAGAATCGAGTCAGTGAGTCGATCACCTATATACAGTCACTTCCTGGAAACAATCACCGGTGTCAGCACCATACGGGCTTTCTCACAACAGCAGCGCTTCATCCGGGATAATTATAGGAAATTAGATGAAAACCAAGAAGCACATTATTTGGCTGTTACTGCTGACAGGTGAAGAGATGAGTGCTGTACCCATATGTATATTTCATCTCATGTATTCAGTCCTCGGATGAGCATGAACTTGCTTCCTATATAATTACATGTTTTATCCATTAATAACGGTTTCATTAGCATGGTAAAATAATTAGTCCTCTCTTAGTAACCTTCGCAGACAAACAAACTGATTCTTCTGCCGTTCATGGCTTGGCTTTATGGGATTGCTTTTGTCATCCTTAATTTTGCTGCGTAACCGTTGATGATCTGTCTTTTCTAAACTAATTTTGACTTTGATGCGGAAATATAAGGACTATTTTTTTTTCGTTTTTTCATCTTTAATATGATTTTGGGTATGAGTGGTGAAGAACACTATCTGCAGCTATTTGCGCCGATAGTTGTTGTAAGGGAACGAAATGTCTTCAATGTCATCATTTATTATACAGCTTGTTCTACGAGAGGGATCATAGTTTTTTAAATATTTTATAGGATTAAGGATTAAAACTTTAAGTTCCTCAGGCAAGATTCCAAAGAGAGTGAAGCTTTTTCGACACCTTTTTTTTACAGATGGTTATCTCTTCGTTTGGAATTCATCGGCAATTGCCTGATCCTGTTTGCAGCGTTGTTTGCAGTAATCAGCCGAGAAAAGATCAGTGGAGGTCTTGTAGGACTCTCTGTAACCTATGCGGTTCAGGTAAAAACAAACAACAAACGAAACGGCTTTACTTCCTTAAGACCCAATGTTTGAAATAAAAACTCGACCCTAACTTTGTACACGTAGGTGTTTATAAATATCCAATTTTATCGACAAACATTAGTGTCTTCGTATGGACCTGCTTCAGTAAAATGCTTGACAGTTAAAATCAATAAGTTTGATCCCGACAGTAAAAATATAACGTCAACAAAGTTAGCTCGGTAGAGGGAGGAAAGAGAAGTGTGTAAGAAGCTTTGCAAATTCAATTACCCATTTTTCCTCTTTTTTTCCATCTGAATAGCCTGATTCCAGACTCTATAATTTCGAATAACCTGACTTTGCTGACGTATTTTAAAATGTTCCTTTTTCCTCTTTTCTAATCGGTGTTGTAGATAACTCAAAAACTTGCCTGGATGATTAGAATGTCAAGTCAACTGGAAACCAACTTAGTATCAGTTGAGAGGGTGAAGGAGTATTCTGATGCCCAGACAGAGGTGGGTGAAAATAAAATCATGAACTACTTAAAACGCACGAGGAAGAAAAAGAACGTGTTGAAACAATTTAATAGATCTTGTGATTAGCGGTGAATGGATCTTTACGCCTATCGTAGGACGACTACACGAGGCTACCAAATTGAGCAGATTTTGCTGAATGTTTCCTCAGGGGTGTAACTAATTGACTTCACATATTTGCCGACGGTATTTCTGATTTTTCCCATCGAACGACTTTGGACATATTCAAACGTAATTTTTCGTCGAAACAGTTTTGCAAACTAAACCATCTAAGGTTTGAAAATCAATTCTCGAATTTGAAAAAAATCTATTTGTTTAGAAGACAAATGTTCCATTTAAAGTCTATGAACATTTTGTTGGCGGTTCTTATGTTCTCAGGAAATTGTTTTGTAAAAGACTATTGCACTACCAAAGATATTTCAAGATGCGCAAAATGAGTATTGTACTTTTACGAGAAGAACCTCGAAAAACTTATCATATCCCTTCTCAGTTCCATTCCTCTCTAACTCTCGGTATTGTAAGGCGGGGTAGTATTCAAATTCGCCACTTCTGTGGTTAAAATATTAAATGATGCGTATGTATCTTTCAATTCACTTCTTTCTTCATTTCAAGGCAGAAAGAGTCATTCCTGATAGCCGGCCGTCTCGTGTTTGGCCACAGCAGGGAATAGTTTTATTTGATAACTTCCAGTTGCGATACAGAGAAGGACTTCCACTGGTTTTGAGAAAGATAACCTTTATAATCAAGCCAGCTGAAAAGGTAAATGAATAATAAACAATAGACTTTTATATCTAAAATATCAGTCTTAGCTTGCGCCAACAAATAATTAAGTTGTTTTCATTAAGAAGGTCACAAGTACACACAGCAGATTTGTGTTTGTATTTTACTCGCGTAACTTTACTAACTCGTCGTACGCATTGATTTACATCTGTTCATGCGCTAACGCGTGAAGTATTTTGAATAAATGTATGAATCAGTCAGCGGTTTGGATACGGATCGACCAGCGGTTAGGTTTGGGTGCGAACCGACTCAAATTGGGTACAAATCGACTGTATTTGGCTGCAAAACGACTGGGTGCGAAATGACCGTGGGTACGAAACGACCGTGTACCTCTAGATTGAGTTGGTTGTTCTCGTCCTTGCTCCGAGGGTTTTGCTCTGGGTCCTCCGGTTTTCCTCCCTCCTTAAAAACCAACATTTCCAATTTTCGATTCGACCTGGAAACAGTGACAAGAAGAGCTCCATAGTGGAATGTCCACAGCTAAATCCCATTATTATCTTATAATCATTTTTGTTCTTAGTAGTAATGACTTTAATAAATCTTAGCAATACTTACCCTTAAATTAGTAAACTTAAACAAGTCACCCCTAACGGTCGAACTCAAAAGGTGACTTGGTGTCTGACTTTTATTTCCATGTTTGAATTGAATACAACAAGGACACTTCCGTTTCTCGAAGATCTTTTGAAATGCAGTCAGCTGTGTAAAAAATCTTACTCACCTTGAACTGTCCAGGTGTTGTTCACTTAGTTGTTATTGTTGTCATTATCATTATTGTCATTCTCTCAGTTACGAATATAGCTTTATTGAATGCTCGACAGATTGGCATTGTGGGTCGAACAGGAGCAGGGAAATCGTCCTTGGCCTTAGCCTTGTTTCGTATTCTTGAGAGATCAGGCGGTAAAATTGTCATCGATGGTGTTGATATTGCCACCATTGGACTCAGAGATCTCCGTGCGCGGCTTACCATAATTCCACAGGTGAAACATGGAACGCAAACATGCAAGGGGAGGTTTATAGTGATAGTGCGAGAACAAAATTTTTTTTGATGTAGTTGAATGCTGCTTTTTGGGAGGAAAGCGCTCGTTAGTAACAATGGGGAGGAAGCCCAGGCATCTTTAGCTACAAATTCATTCATCCTGGTTTATGGCTGTTAAATCGCATTTTAGGGTTTTCAAGGAAATTTATGTGCTTTCTTACTTCAGCACCTTAAACGATTGAGGACCGTTGTCATCCGTTGAATACATAAAAAAAAATATGGATACTTGGTCAGAAGGAAGGAAAGTGTTTCAATGTTTTTAATGAAATCAAAAAATGCTTTTTTTAGTTGTTTTACTTTTCGGTTTTATTCCATTCTTATTTATCTTTACCTATAGGAGCCCGTGTTATTTTCTGGAACTCTCCGTCTAAACTTGGATCCGTTCAATGGACATGTGGATGAAGAGCTTTGGAGAGTATTGGAAGTGAGTCATTTGAAAAGATTTGTGATGAGTTTGAGTGGAGGACTTCAGCACGTTATAGCTGAAGGAGGCGAAAATCTCAGGTAGGAAAGAGGGTGGACTGACAGTGAATACGTTGAACTGTTCATTGATACAAGGTACAAGAATGCATGCTCAACTTAAAACTCGGTTCACGACTTTTAAAAATGTAATGCGCTTTTCTCAAAATCCGTTTCAATAATTGTATTTTTTTTGTAACCTAAGAGATGCATTTCACAGTCAGTTAGTATTGAAACTGCATGGTTTAGAGGGGTCAGGAAAAAACATGAACTTGTGTCGAGGCTCTCAATTAAAATTTCAAGCTCCCGGTCAAGAAGCCCTTCAAATCAAGAGGATCCTGGGAACCTATTGAAACATTTTTGGGATGAGAGGTAAAAAGTACAGACTCTACCAGCCAAAAATGAAATGTCATTTCAGGCTTGGACAGTATCTTGACCAGTTTTAAATTCTATATTGCTTAGGGGTTATGTTAAATTTTTTATTCTCTCCTCTATGGTTCTCGCTTATCCAAAGTTTTAATATTTTTATGTTATGAGTATGTAATTGTTTTGTATGGTTACTAAATTTTCTTGTGTTCTCATTTCTACGTAAAATTTGAAACTTCAAATTTTTGCATGAAATGTAACCTTTATAATCCTAAGGCTTGTGTGATTTCATCAATCATGAGGTAGAGATTGCATAGCCTTTGCGATTGAAAGGTTCAAGGACGTTTTAGTGCGGCTTTGGGCGGGTGGTTTTTCATGGCCAATACCTTTCACGTGACTCATTTGATCTCTATGGAACTTTTATACCTTATTGTAGTGTTGGCCAGCGACAGCTGGTTTGTTTAGCGCGTGCACTTCTCCGTAAAAGTAAGATTCTGGTTCTGGACGAAGCAACGGCCGCGGTGGACCTGGAAACTGATGAACTCATTCAACAAACGATTCGACGGGAGTTTGCTGACAGTACAGTGTTCACCATCGCCCACAGGCTAAACACCATCATGGACTACGACAGGTAAAAATCTTTCCAGTGGACTTCGTACAAACTTCAGTGATTAATATTTTACTGAATCGTTTATCTTGAATAACTAAGGCGTGGCAAACTAATTTACATTATTCATTATTCACGTGAGCTGTCAAGCATCGATTTGAAACAGCAGCACATAGCTTTATGACACTAATTTAGAAAGGTAAGATTATGACACAAGAAATTATATGTTACAGTAACGGACGTTTTTTCCTTTCAAAGGGTTATGGTTCTTGAAGACGGTTCAATTGCAGAGTTTGACGCACCCAGCAAACTTCTGGAACAAAGAGGACACTTCTATAACATGACTCGTGACGCAAGACTTACAAAGTGACCTAACATATTTATTTGGCTTTAGATCCTACCAGTTTTTTAGACAAGATAGGAACAAAAAACGAAACAACCGGGCAGATTGAGGCATCTTCACAATAAGCGATCAGGTTGTGCAAATAGAAAATGAAGAACGAAAGAAGCCGCGGTATGGCGAATTTTACTTACTTTCCACTTTTCAAGTATAATGAATGTATTTACCAACAACTTCTTAATGAGAAAGCTTGAACATTTAAATTTAGAGAGGTTTCAATCTGTTATTGTGCATTTTGGCACGTTATTGTCGAGTGCGTGTGGAGGCTCTTTCTATGTCACTCCCTTATTACATTATTTTATTCCTTCCATATTTGATCTTTATTCTTAATTGCAATCTATTCTTCTCATACTTTTCATATGATATCTGCATATCTACACTTTTCGCACATTTTCATGTTACAACATATTTGTATAAAAACGTTTTACGAAATATGTTTCTTACCCGTAATGCCGAATTCCGAAGATCCACAATGGCTTGCATTCTACCTTTAAAAAAATTAGGCGCATTGGAAGTTCTCTTTCGGTAGCTCTATTCTTTCGGGAACAGTGTTTTACTAAAATGTTTTTCTTACGATCGCTTGATTTCATATCGCGAGATT